TATATTGTTTGGATATTATATTTGGATATTATATTGTTTGTGATTTTTATCGAATATTTGAATACGCACTTTGCACGCTTATTTCCTATACTTATTTCTTAATATTCTTAATTTATTTATATTTTTTAATAAATATAAATTATAAATATAAAAAAATGTAAAATATATAACAAAAAAAGAGGACCGTCAATCAAAATCGGCGGGGGTGATGGAGGGCCTCAAATTCGTCGGTTTTTATCGGATAAATATTATGATTAATAAATATTATTTTATTATTAATAAATATTATTATGAATAATAAACAATTTTTGCTACAATATGTATTCTATTTATTTATATTATATTTATATTATATTTATATTATATTATTTATATATACACGTATATTATATTTATATTTATAATTTATATTTTTTCTTTCATTTTTTTCATTAATTCATAGATTTATTATTTTTAAATAATTTTAGTTTAAATAAATTTTTATAAAATATAATTTTGAAATGAATACACTTAAGTTGTTAATCGCATATTTCAGTTAATCTTACATAATCAATTTCTGATACATTTCATGTTTATATGTATAAATACATAAATACTACGGTCACACGGAGCTTCTTTGTCAGAACTCTCGCATGTATATACCACTGACGTTTGTATCGCCAATGCGATGTGATGCTTTAGTGACGAATTTTTCATTACCAAACGTATAATTATTTATTTATAAAAATAATTTTATTATAAAAAATAATAAACCGGACATAATAGAACATTTTATTTCCATTTTATTCATACAAAAAAGTTATACCAAAGTTATACCTAACCAATGTTAATGTTTATCAATAATTTATTCTAGAACAAAAAAATTACGCAAACGTAAAAAGATGTGTAATTTTATTGTATTATAAATATGTGTAATTGTATTGTATTGTAAACATACTTTTGATCGATGAATTATGAAAATAACATAACATGCACCAGAATTTTATCGACAGTGTCAGAAAATGGAAATGGCTACTTAATTCGAATATGCTAAAATAAATTTGAGGGCGCTAGTGTACAGCAGTTGATCGGTGATATCATGAAAAGAGCCGGGATGTTCGCTCTTAGATCTTTCTAATATTTCTAACAATTAAATTTGATTGAAATCATTTTGCGTAATAATTATGCAAAATTTCAGGGTATTTCTTTTTTTTCGCCAAAGACGAAATTGCCCGCTTTCATTCAAATTGCCATTAAGTTATTGTCAATAAACATGAAGGTATCCCTCCAAATTCATTGCATCAAGAGATTTAAACTCGAACTATAATATCAGAAGAGATTTAAATCAAATTATAATATCAGAAAACAAAAAGCAACGCGAAGACTTCTTCAAGTATGCGAGCTATTTTCGGAACTAGTGCGCCGACTCATTCTCGATAGTGGATATTTATTATCGAGAATTGCTGACAGCCCATTGTGTTATTCGCGCTATCAGTAAACGAAGCGAGTGAAAGCGCACCCGCGACGGAGATACAAGAAAGCGCGACGATCTACGATCAATTGATGTGGGAGAAGAGCCTCGCGCTTGACATGCCGCGATCAATGTAATTTGACGAATTGATGATGGAATGTAGTTTCGCGGAGACGTGACTATCTTTCCGATCGTTCGTGGCACGTTGACAGAAACATCCCCAGACCTTGAATCAGACATGAGATTTAACGATAAGGAGCTCGCAGAGGCGAGCTTTGGACCCGCGGATTTAGAAGGACGATTAAATCACAAGCGGGCACATAAGTCAGGTTAGTTTAGAACGTGTGAATATGATTGAGGGTGTTTTACATAACGTGGTGACGATCAACTTAACCTGTCTGTCAACTGTCACTTGAGAGAACTTGGTGTTCTCTTTGTGCAGAGGAGTTTAACAATATATAATTATTCTACGCATTATGTTACCGCACGCGCAACTATTTTCCTTATGCGATATTAGACTTTTTTTGATATTGTCGCTATAATTCTTGTAGTGTCAACAGAGATAAATTGAGAAAAAATTAACTGATATTGATTATAGACAAAACTACTCAGAAGACTTGATTATTTAAAATGTTTCTAAAATACTTTAATTTTCCTTGTTTAAAAAAAAAGGAAGAAATTTATCGATATGTTATGTATTAATAGTTTAATGTATATAATTTAGTTAGATTAGTTATTTTTTAATTCTTAATTTCTAGCATCTCTCAACATTGTGCAAAGATCAGTAGATAAATGAAAAAATAGACGTAATAATTTATATTAAGATTAAATGAATAACATATACTTTTTACCTTTATATTTGCTTTTAGTATTCAAGGAGAAATGGTTCAAACTGCGATACAATCTATTGTTTTACTTCAACATCAATGACTTGGGGCAGATCGACAGGCGGCAACCTGCTGGGGTCATTATTCTAGAGAATTGTAATATCAATGTAGATAATTCATCTGAAGGAGCATTTGCATTTAGCATTTCATTTCGTGATGAGCTGGACAAGCGGCATGTGCTGAGTGGTCGTTCCGAATCCCAAGTAGAACAGTGGATTAATGCACTTAAACAAGCGAGCTATGGATATTGGAGGTCTCGGTTAATCACGCTTCAAGAAAAATTGTGCAAGAAAACGGGCAAAGATCCATTGCTCATGTATCCTAGAAATCAAGGTGTAGTGCGAGATGAGGCTTGGGAACCTGCCTCTAGCTTTAGATCTCATGTACGTTCATTCACAACATCGGTCGCATTATCGCCTACTTTGAATACGATAACAAGGGAAGTTAATCTCATAGATCTTTAATATCAGAGATTGACTTTAGAATAATTAAACTAAAAGTTGATCTGTGGCCTCATGAAATTTATATTTTAGACAAATACGTGTATATGTAATCAGTGCAAGAATATTTAATGCAAAGCTGCCGAGTAAGCAAGTTTTAGAAAGTAAATATTGTATGAGCTTTAATAATTTATATAGCATAATATAGCATAATATATGGACTCTCTGAATCTATACAAAGAAAAATAGAAATATTATAATTAGGCAATATAATTTACTTTAAATAATAATTTTGTTTAAGAAAATATGAGAAAAGTTATCAAAATATGATAAATACTAAAAAATAAAAAGTATTTCTGAGGAAATTATTCTTTTTTTAAGACAAAAAAGGCTCTGGGAATAGAGAAGAATTAAATTATATAAAGTAATGATAATTTCAAATATGAATTTATTTATTTAAAATATATACAAATAATATATACAACGAACAAATTGTATTAATTTTTAATATAAATTATAATATAAAAAGGAATTATGTGAGCGAATGCTTAGTAATACTTCGATGATTAAATGTTAATATTTTTAAATAGATAATAAGATATACTTATGTTATATGAGAAGAATAAAATTCGTGGTTATTTACCATTCTACCTCTATGAATTTAATGAAGTATTTAAACTAAATGAATACTCAATTTTATTTGTAACAAAATTGTGTAATAACAATAATTGATTGGAAAGTTGATGAAAAAAATAAAAGTATTTTTATAACCTCTGCATACATTTTTTAATGTATTATCCAAAACTGTATCAAACGTTTGAATTTAAAAATATTCATTTTTAAGGTTCATTTTCTTACTAATATTTATTTTTACTCATATTTATTTTTTGTTTTATATATGTATATTGTATCTAAACGACGGTTCCAATGATCATTATTTGAGATTAAAATAATTTAACTTATTTATTAAATATAAAAAAAAGATTATTAGTATTAATATAAGTAACTAGCATAGTTTAAGAAAATAATTATACTTTTAATAAATAGACTATTAATTTCGAAACCTTTAAAAATATTTATGCATATATCTCAATTATGGGTTAATATCATTTTTTATTTTTATTTAATATTAAATTATTTTTAATTTATTTAAATTTATATTATTTTATAATACTGTATTTTTTTAAATATAACTCATTAAGAGATATATATATATATATATAAAATTGCAAAAAGTTAAAAAATTACAGTTAATTATAATAATAAAAGTTCTTATTTCTTTCTCTTTCTTTTTTTATACATCAATGTTTGAAAAAATAATTTTATATTCTATAATAATTATAAAGATATTAAAAAATAATCTATAACTTTATGTACATGTATATATAATATTAATAATAATTATATACATATATAATAATTTAGTTAATTTGACACTAAATTAATACACGGTCTATATAATTGGAATATTTTTGCAAATCTTACAGTTGCCAAAAAATATTTCATTTATTTCATAATAAATGTAAATTAATTTTTTATTTTCAACTTTAATAAAAAATATATAATTTAATAAAATAAAACGCGAAAGAAAATATATTTGTTAAAATCTTTGTAAAAGTATTAAATAAATAATTAAATTATTTAAAATTGATAAAAGAAAATGTTTCGATAAAAGCTTACATTAGACAGGATTTACAGTGTACGCCAGTCTTACTAAACCTCAGAAAAGCTGTTCGAGTTATTAGGAAAACATATTTATATAGGAGGACTCAAATAAACAGAATCGACTTGAGCGCGTCTCGCCAGGAGCTCGAAAAATCGCTCCGATATTAGGAAAGCACGCTAGCAAGGAAGTTACAGAAGGTACACTAGAAACTCCCACCCAAGCTTATCCCCACTATTACAAGTTCCCGCTATTGGCTACCAGCCCTCCAATGAGAGCGTGGCGGAAGAGTCACCCGCTAATTCTTATCAACCAATTACAGTGTCAATAGGTGGGAGCAATGTGGGGGGAGACACACCTCCGCTCTAAGGTTCTTGAACAACCTCTTCGGTCAACGTGCGTTCCTGTTATTCAAACCGATTTTTCGGACATTCTGACGACGAGAAACCCAAAAGTCTCTTATGTTATCATCTGAACTTACATTGCTATTACTTTATACAATCTTTGATCGCTCACAGATGCGCATAATGAAATTATTAACAATATTTAATTATAACAAATTATGAAAATATTCAATCTTAATTAATTAATTATTTCTATATTTATTAATCATATGTATTTAAATATTTTACATATAGAAAAACACAACACTTATTTCTTTATTTCGGATATTAAAAAAATTACGAATTAAAATAATTTTAATGCAAATATCGTAATAGCGAGATATGTATTATAACATTTTATCAAATAATTTAATAAATTAATAAACATTCATTAGCTTATTATTAAATATTGTCAATATAATATTTTTTGAAATTCGTTTCTAGCGTTGGATCTTTGCTTTCTGTATCAATTTTAATTGTGAAATATTTTGCTTTTATTTGCCATTTTTACAACATAATAAATATTGCTAATTTAATTCAAAGCATGCAATACGTAAGACTGTTTTAAACTATTTAATATTTATATTTTAACACTGTTTATCGTTATACCAGTCGCCAAATAGAATAATGAAACTTAATAAATTTCGATAATATCAAAAAAGAAAGATATCTCAAAAATGGCGTCGCATTCGTGCATTCAAAGTCGGCACATGATGATATACCTTATTAATGTAAATTAATTAACAATGTTGCCATATTATTTACCGTCGATTTGATTGCCAAATTATATGAAAAACATTAGTAAGTTTGGAACATCATAAAAAGAAAACGATTGAAACATCATAAAAAGAAAAAGATTGAAACATTTATACATAAGTCGATATACAATGATACGTGCTTTTGCTCATTAAGAATTAATTAATATTACAAAAATATTTTTCATCAGATTAGCCTCCAAATAACGTAAGAAAATTAACAAACTTGAAACTTTATTAAAAAAGAAAAATATTTCAGAAATTGAATTGCTTTTGAGATTAGTTTATATGATACAAAAGTATTTTTGCTGAAATAACTTAATTAACAATTGCAATATTGTTTATCGTCAGATTGATCTTTAATAACAGTAAGAAAGAGTAATAAACTTCAAATATTATTAAAAAAGAAAGATATTTCAGAAATCGAATCGCTTTTGAAATGAACATATGACAACGTATTCTCTGACTCTGTTTTCCTTTAATCCAAATTAATTATTACAGCCAATATAATTGCTTATCGAATCAGTCCTTAAATAGTATAAAAAGAATTAATAACTTTCTAATATTGTTAAAAAAGAAAAATATTTGAAAAATCGAATCGTTTTTGAAATCGGTAAGGAATGCTTTTGCCGACAGAACTGTTTATGGAGAAATCTTTCATATATAAATATATAAAGAATAATAACAAAATAAAAATACTAGAAACAAAATTTAAATAAATAAAAATTTTTTTAATTCGTATAACTGTTCAAGTTGATATCAAGAAAGGAGAGATTTCTTATCTTAATTAAAACTGTAACATAATATTTCAGTGTTGTTCATTTTTGGATATTTTAAGAACTTGGGAAAATTTATAACTCGATAAAAAAATGATTCACTATTTATATTTTCAAATAGACTTATTTACAAATTTTACATTTCACATTTTTCCATAGGTGTAATAATAACGTGGCATTACTGCAATTTATAGTTTGTATATTTATTTATACAATCATTATAATAAATTATATATATACTTTTTTAATGTATATTTACGTACGCGCGAGTTCATCTTGTATATGCATACAGAATTGATCTAAATTCTAAAATAAATAATTAAATTGTATACATATATTTTTTAACTCGAAATTAATTATTCCTTAAAAAAACATAAATTTTCACTAACTATCATGTTTTCTTTATTCTTCATTTTTAATTTTTGTATAAAATAAATTATTAGACTTGATATTTAAATTAAATCATATTAAATTATCATATTAAATTAAATTAAATCATATTAAATTTAAATCATATTAAAATAAATTAACCAAACAAAGACTAAAGTTTTATTATCTATTTTCATTTCTTTCGCTTTAGAAAAAAATTCTTACTCTAAATTACGTATAAATCTATATAAAAAATTATTAATATTTCGATATTTTTGAACAAAAAAGTCAATTTTAAGCCAATCCAAGATTATATTGACAAAATTTAATTACTATTTCAGAATCCCATTGTACATATATGTACATATACATACGATGCATAGAAATGTTTGACACGATTTTGGCGGATAGAGTGGCTAGGACAAATTATACTTTTACGATTTACACAGTTAATTGCAACTCTCATCACACGCACTCCTATTTTTTGATTAAAATTACCACCAAGCTTCTATATCTTAATTTTGGACTTTGCATCTTGCACTTACGATTACACCATGTTTCCGTTAACAGACAGCCGGGGAAACAGTCATGGGTAGGAAGGTTGAGAAGAAATGATATGTTAAATAAAGATATTTGTTAAATAAATATACGATAAATCATTAAGTTACATATATAAAATATTTTTACAAAAAATTGTGAAATTACGCACATTTCTCGGTTTCAGTTTTTTTCCATATTTGATTTAACATTATATGTTGTTTAATATTATTTTTATGCAAAAAGCAAAATAAACAGAAGCAGAAAAAACCAGAAATAGTATATTTTATACTTTCTGTACAAAGTTCCTTGGTCCCATAGAAACAAGACCAGATAAAGTGTATATAAATTATTGAATTATAAATTGATTTGTTTCAGCATAAGCATGAAACTATTGGCACAATTTTACACACGCATGAGAGCAATCTGCTATCTGTCAACGTACATAGCCCTTTTTATCAACCTAATATCTTTTAATAATCTTATCTAAAATGTTTGTTTCACATTTAATCATTTTTAATCTAGTAATGTTATATTATAAATATGTATATGAAAGATATTCCAAAGAAAAATGTGCATCAACAATGCTTTGTTTGCGTAAATTTGATCAAAATTTAATTAACAAATTAAGAATTGAAAATAGGCAAATACCACAATGATTTAGCACTCGCATTTTTCCAATTACAAATGCAATCTTAACATTGTAATAATTATGAGACATTGTATTTATGTATATACTTTTATGTCGTTATTTATGTATATACTTTTATATTTTTCTTTATTATGTCTCAGAAACTATATACAATTGTATAGAAAATATACAAAATTTGAAAAGTTCTAAAAATATTTTGTGGATTTTAATCAATATATTTTTCATAAGTTTGTATAAACGAATAATAGTTAAAAAAGGAGAATAATTTATTGATAATGAAATAGAAAGATAAATCAAATATTACGTGTACGATTTTAAGACAAAATATATTACATACAAATTATAATAAAGTTTTTTAAATAAACTACTTACTTCGTAATATTCTTACAACTGATACATATCTTTAGTAGGACATCTTTTGGATATATATACAGAGCATTACAAAAATTAAAAACACTATAACAAAAGTTCGTAAAAATTATGAAAGCAATAATTTTTCAAATATAAAATTAAATACATAATATAAAATTGTAATTAGTTAAATTATAAATTGTGATCACATATGTTAATAACTTTACGGCATATTTTATCTAATATCAATGTA